TTGCTGAGGCTCTGGGTCTCCAGCGAGCTACAAGTAGAGCCATTATTAACAAATGGAGAAAACTTGAAACAGTGGTGAACCTTCTCAGGCATGGCCGGCCTACCAAAATTTCACCAAAAGTGCCTCAATGACTCATCCAGGAGATCACAAAAGAACCCAGATGAACATCTAAAGAACTGCAGGCCTTACTTGCCTCAGTTAACATCCATGTACAGGATTCCACAATAAGAAAGATACTGGGCACTAATGGCACTAGTCGCAAAGTGCAACCACTGCTGACCAAAAAGAACACAAAGGCTCATCTCATATTTGCCAAATAACATCTAGATGACCCTCAAGACTTTTGGGACAATATTCTGTGGGCTGATGAGTCAAAGGCAGAACTTTTAGGAAGAAATGGGTCCTGTTACATCTGGCGGAAAGCTAACATTGCATTCCACCAGAAGAACATCATACCAATAGTCAAACATAGTGGTTGATGGTCTAGGGCTGCTTTGCTTCTGCAGGACCTTGATGACTTGTCATAATAGATGACCCATGAATTCTGCTCTCTGTCAGAAAATCCTGAAGAAGAATGTCCGTCTGTCAGTATCATGTATCTTCAAATTAGTGATTTTAGAGGACACATGAAAAAAGCTTCTTAACTTTTAATGTAAGTTAATAAAAGATTTTATTTCAAGTGATTTTGGATCATTTCTATCTATCCATCCATTCATCATGATTTTTTCACACAGTGTAAAGGACAGCTGTCATATCCAAAATATATAGGAAAATAAAATCAATGAAAATGGAGATGCATGTTTTTCTATGTGCATTGATGATGAGTTAGTCTTAGGCACAGCAAATTAAAAAAAAAATATATATTTCTAAAAGATAAAGACAGGGCAGCTCTGCACAGCTCTGTGAAAAAAAAAAAAAATATATATATATATGAGAAGGCCCCTAAGTGTGCTAATTTTAATTCATTCAAGCTACGAACCCCATCATCAGCCTCCTACTGAGGGGGGCATTGATAAAAGATGAATTTTGATTAATTTTCCACATTCAGTCAGCCACAATGATTGGATGGCAGATGGAAGCTTTTAGCCTTAATGTAGTCTGTAATTTTCAAAAGAAACTTTTGCAAAGATTTTCAAGACAACATTTTCAAACACTAAAGTATTGGAAAAAACAAACAAGTTTTGGAAGAGGGCCGCACCTGAAATCCTTTTTCCAGCCTAACATCCTATACATTTCCACCTGTACCTTCTGTTTCCAGTTCCTCTATCCGATCTCTCAGTTCTACCTCTGTTATTCACAAGGGGGTCTTCCTAGAACTCCAGCCCAAATTCTAAGACTGCCCTCTCTTCCTACATTCATACAGCCTCTTCTCGTACTACACCAGGATTTGCAGGGTGTTGTAGCTTTGTTTCATGCTGAAGAGCATCACACAGTCCTCATCCTCACACCCACCAGACACATTATAGAAATGACATACAAATAATCAAATAGGAAGTCTATTCCCTCACTGGGAACATCACCACACACCACAAATCTTTAGCCTAGTGCTGAAAAAATACTAATTTTAGTGGTCAGGTAAGATCCTCCCTCAATAACAGCAAAAAGAACTTCATAATCAACATTAGCCTGTTTTCTGTGGCCTGTAGATGGAGCCAAACAGCAAAGCTTGTATTCACTCATCAAAATTATTTTATCTGATTTTGATAAGATATATGTTATGTAGGTCGTGCGACCCCCCCCTGCAGATCCTCAGTTGGAAAAGCCAGGGTCTCCTGCCCATCTGAGCTGGGGTCTCCCCTGGCCTTTGATCATCCATATCCCAGAAGCTGCTGATCTCGTGATCTCATGGCCACTATTGTGTTGTGGTTGTGCCACAGTTGGCTGAGGCAGAGCTCCCTCCTGCCCTGTTCTGTACCCCATTGAGACCATCACACCCAGACAAGGACCCCAGCTCTCTGAGCAATGGAAGCCCTGACTTTCCCGTATAGAGATTCTTAGGGGGATTGGTGTTCCCGATCCCTATCCCGAGGTATTGGTGCATCCCCCCAAAGATTTATTACAAAGTGTATATGGACATGCACACAAACACACACACACACACACACACACACGCACACAAACACACACACACACACACACAATCGCTATGGGTGCTGACCTGCTAACCTTTCTCGCTAAGCCTCCTGTCGTGCCTCATGTGGGCCTCCTGTTGAAGACCACAAACAAAGTGTAGGTCAGAAAGCTGAGTGTGAACTATATTTACCACAAGCAGATGATGCACCTGTTCTGATAAAACACATTCACTTAAGAAAAAAAGAAAACTCTCAACTCATACATTAAATCAATTTATTTAATATTTCTCATTTTAAGACTATTGTAAGTTTATTGTAAGATTATGTGACTTATTATTAGAAATGTATGTACTTGTTTTAAGTGATTATAGTAAATCAAGTTATCTCAGTGTATTGGCAGATGATTTTGCTGGTTTTAGCCATATTTCTCAGAACAAGCTAAATTACCTGCCAATATAATTTGACTTCTTAAAATCACTTAAAACTAATGAAAAAGTCTAGAAAGAATATAAATAATCTTATAACAATACATAAGATATATTGACAAGTTATAGGACAATTTCACTTGCTAAAGTATTATTTTTTACCTTAATGAACATATATATGGTGTTTCTCCAGAATGCCCTGTCTTTAGGCTTCTTAATGACATTGTTCATCTTTCTTGTTGCTGGTTGTCCTTTTCCTCTTTATCTGATCCAATCATACTCCACTGAATTAGTTCTTCTCATAATATGTCCAACATAAGAGATTCAGTTTGCTTATCTGGGTTTTCTTTGTCGCTCATCGCCAAAAAAGGTGTTCACAAGAGGCCTCAGTATTTTCATTGTCCTGCCTTTTTGTTGTCCAGTTGTCACATCTATTCAGGACCACAGAAACAACCACAGCCTCATCTGATCTTTCTTCTTACAGGCCCTCTCTAAAAGATCTTATCAAGCTCTTTCATCCTTGTTCTACTGAGTGTTGCATTTTTTTTGTGTGTGTGTCCTTTGCTGTTAATAATATTAATAATTGAAGTCAGTAAAAGCTCTCCACCACTTCTACATCATAGTCATCAATGGTTAAGCAGGTTAGCAGTATGTCCTATTCTTTCCCAACAATATAGCCCCCCAAAATATCTTTTTTGCAAAGATCTACATTTCCATATGTAGATGTACAATTAACATTATTATTATGTGCTTTTCAAGGATATCACATTTTGAGTTGTGCTTTGTGTATTTTTTCCATTTCTTTGATTTCTTTATTTAAGAAAGAAGTATGGTGCAAACTGCTGAGACTGGCATCTACCCAGAAACATTTGCTTTGGCTTAGGTTGACCAAATTTTGCTGATAGTAGAGTGAGTTTTATGAAGTATGAATGAAGAATGTGCTCCTTTGTACAGTGCTGGTTCCTACTACTTTGGGTAGAGACTGTTAGAAACATCTGGAATTTTAAGTGAAAGAATTTCTGAAGCTTGAATTCACATTTTTGAGTGTATTTCCATATTTAGCCAAAAGGTGGCAGCAACACTCCACAATAACACTCAGCTTAGCTCAATTTGAATAGTTTGCTATACAACGTCTGGGGGCCTGCAGGGATTCAGTTGGTGTGCAGTTGCTTGTACTTACATTTTGCAAACATTTAAGTGCTTGTTGATAAAAGAAGACTTGCTAGACTGGAATGAATACAGCACACACAAACTAGAATAGTGCATTTCCTGAAGAAATGCAATTGTTGAGATGTTTCTAGGCAGCTATGGCATGAGGGATGTGAACTGTATAATTGTTAGGGTGGTTTCCACATGGTTGCTAGTTGTTGTAAAAAATGAATGGGAGTCTATGGGAGAAATGAGAGATAAAAAAACAAGACATAGGGGTCAGTATGGCTCTGGATGAGAGCATGCAGACCTGCCCTGAGTGAGTACATGCAGTTTGGTGGCTGTCAATCAAAGTAAAGGTTAAGTCTTGGTTAGGGCCAAAAATGAATGGGACTCTATAAGAGGAACAAAGGATTAAAATATGACACATAGAGTGCAGGTCAGTATGACTGTGCAGTAGAGTTTGAGGACCTGCCCTGAGTGAGTACATGCAGTTTGGTGGTTGTCGAGCAAAGAAACAGCTCAGTGTGACAGAACAACATTGAATTTGTGCTCAGGGGTCTGCCCTGAGATAGTATATGCAAAACAGAGTATTTCAGTTGAGTTGAAGTACAATAGACAGATGTGCAATTTTTTATCCCATTCGTTCCTAAAGGGAAAAAAAAATCGGAATTTAATGAAGATTCTACAAAAACCGTAAGTCAGATCAAAGCACACACAGAAGCACAGCATTCCCGATCAGACCAAAAAATTTGAAGCTGGACCGGTGTCGATATCTTGAAAACTGCTGGATGGGTTAGCGGGACAAAAAAATCAGACAGAAAAATAAGAAAAAAAGAGAAGACATACTTGAGTACATTTAAAAATAAGTACTTTTATATTGTCACTCAAGAATATTTTTGGCTTCATATTTCTTTTTAAATTGAGTGAGATTCGGACACAGTCACAGTGTCCCTACATAAGTTACTGTTTCTATTTTATTTGCTTGGCTTACTAGATTAATAGATTGTCCTGTTCTTACAGTACTGAGGCAACACAAATGTTCAAGCATGTGATTCAGTGTGGGGCCAAGATTTATTAAAACACTCAATTTCCTTCCTGCTGATCAATATTTTTCATTAAACATCTAGACCTGAGGGGCACAGTAGCACACAAAGTCATCGAATGGTCATGTATTGGTTAAGGCCTACTGAAACACATGAAGACCAACTTCCTCAAACATCTGTGAAAGACACATTTTAAATAGATGCTCTAAGAAAGAATGTAGGTCGTTTCTCAGGCTCGTCAGGCTGACTTGTGAGTGACCAGTGACCACCACACAGTATACAGAAATAGAAAGATGGGAGGGGTAGACCACCAGATAAAGCTGTATGCAGACAGACAGCACAACATTCGAGACACGACATGCTTTTTTTCGTCTGGTCAGTGATGCCTGTGAGTACTGTTAACTCTGACGCTCAAGACATAAAGCATTTTTAAACACTTTATGGGCGACACATAGACTATGCTTCTTATAAATGTCTAGTTTTAGTAAATATTGGAGTAGACTGTATATCAAATGTATTTTAAAAAAGTTAGAAGTCAACATAAAACAATTTAGGTTATAATGTTTGACAACTTTAATACAGCACAGAAAGGATGGTGATACAAAGAGAACATATTTCTTTTTATATCATTTTGTAGCTGTGTAATAAATAATGCATTTACCTTATGCATTTTTATTTATGTGTCCAAAATATGTTTGGAGACAGATGAATACTTCTCAAAAAATCTTTTGTTTCAGATTCTAGAATCTGTGAAATTGCTAAACTTCAACTGATGGTGAGTTTGACTTATTAGTTTATTAGTATTTGTTATATTTGTCACACCATTTCCTGAACACACAAGTTCCTGAACATTGTTTTTTTTTCTTTCTTGCATATTACTTGCATATATGTTTCAATAAAAAAAGGGTCCATGCTGGTAATGTATGCCCAAATTTAAACACCTTTAGTCAAATATTTTATGCCATGTGTCTCTTTTCATTTATTAGAAATCATGATAGCCATTGCTTTCACATATTTATTCACCTGCAGCAGACTCCCTTTAAGTGAATGAAGAATAATGAATGACACCAGCACCACCAGCAGCAGTAGCAGCAGCTGCAGCAGCATGGATATCCACATCCCCATCATCGCCTGCCTCTGTGAAGCTTTATTAATGTCTATCATTGTAAATATCTATTTTATATGTACAAGGAGGCACAAGGAATTTGGGCAGCGTATTTACAGTGAGTGTTTTCTCTATTTATTTAATTATACATATTGAAAATGTTTTACTTTAGTCTGCATGTGTTTCTTAAAGATATTGTAGTAACATTTTGCTTGATCCCTGCTATATAACATTGAAATAACCATGTCATAAACATGTCATAGCTGATGTTTTGTGCTATAATGTGATATCTGCCATGACATGTTATTTGCTAATGTTGTGTAACAGGGTTTAGGAAAAGCATTACCAACGTTGTAATAATGTAAGGTGTAAATCAGAAACTCATAAGTCAGCTCTAATCTAAATCATACTTACTTCATAGTTCAGCTGCTTTGTGCATTCTGCCCTACACAGTCCATAACAGTATGTACAACTTTATATTCAACTATTTGTTTTTTCTTCTTGTCTAGACTCTGTAACCTCAGTGTTTTGTTGCAACACAAATGAGCAGCAAAGTGAGCAGCAAACGGCAGAACAGGTAGAGACCAAAAACTTTAGGTGGGCTTTTATAAAGTTTTATAAAGTAACTGGTTACATTGCTTTTCATGAGTTTATTCAACTGGAGTTCACCAAATTCTTTAATTTAGTCAAACGTTCTCTTAATTTTTCAGTTCTATTTCTCAGTTAATAGTTAGTAAATAATATAGTTTTGATTTCCCTCTAGCTGGGACTCTATCACACAACCCCATTCACATTTTTCCTTTTGGGTAGCCACTTATGGATGGCTAGGGCATCAATAGGGTTCAAACTCAATATTCTGTTGGGGTACTCCTGTGCACTACATGGAAGCACCTAGGAACACCAAGCTACTCTGATTTCATGTCCATATAGGTTTATTACACTGTAGGAATTTCATATCTCCAAAATGGTAACTTTACAGGAGAAGGAAAAAACATACTTTATTTTTAATGTAAGTCAAAGGAACCAGACTTTTTTTTCAAGTCATCATCATCATCATCATCATCATCATCATCATCGTTAATCGCTTAGTCCAGATAAGGTCGCGGTAGCAGCTGGGAGAGCAGAGAATCCCAGATGACCCTGTCCCCCACAACTTCCTCCAGCTCATTCCCGGGGACCCCAAGCCGCTCCCAGGCCAACTTGGAGATATAATCCCTCCAGCGGGTCCTAGGACAACCCCGGGGTCTTGTTCTGGTAGGCCGTGCCTGGTACACCCCCACCGGGAGGCGTCCAGGGGGCATCTGGATCAGATGCCTGAACCACCTCAGCTGGCTCCTCTCAATGTGGAGGAGTAGCGGCTCTACTCCGAGCTCCTCCCGGATGGCCGAGCTCCAAGACCCCGAGATACTTAAACTCCTCCACCTGAGGCAAGTCCTTTGCCCTTACCTGGAGTGGGCATGCCATTCTTTTCCGGGCTAAGACCATGGACTCAGACTTGGAGGTGCTGATCCGCATACCAACCTGCTTCACACTCAGCTGCAAACCGCTCCAGTGCGTGCTGGAGGCATCCATGTGATCCAGCCAAAAGAACAACATCATCTGCAAATACCAGAGACGCCACGCTCCGGCCTCCAAACATAATAACCTCCTGACCCCAGCTACGCCTTGACACCCTGTCCATGAATATCACGAACAGGAGTGGAGACAGGGCAAACCCTGGCAGAATCCAACGCTAACACTGAAAGAGTCCGACTTAATGCAGAGTATACGAACACAGCTCTCACTCTGGGTGTACAGAGATTGAATGGCCCGGGGGAGTAGTAACCCCGGCACCCCATACTCCCGGAGGACCTCCCACAAGATATCTCTGGGAACATGGTCGTAAGCCTTCTCCAAATCCACAAAACACATGTAGATTGGGTTGGCAAATTCCCATGCCCCCTCAACAATCCATGAGAGGGTGAAAAGGGTGACAGAATCTGCATTGTTCCTCCTCAATCTGAGGTTGAACTATCGGTCGAAGTCTCCTTTCCAGCACCTTTATACCTTTATTTAACCAGAGTAGTCACATTGAGATTAAAAATCTCTTTTACAAGTGAGCCCTGGCCAAGAAGGCAGCACACAAAACAATCAACAAAGAAACAACATGACCACAACCAACAGAATCAAATCAGGGTCAAAACCAAATTAAAAACAAAAACAAACAGAATGACAGTTCTTTAACAGTCATCTTAAATTCACTCAAGGAAATAAACTGCTCCAATTTTCAAAAGTTTTTGCAGATCATTCCATGCAGATGGAGCACTAACTGAAAGCTGCCTTGCTGTATTCAGGCCGTACTATCGGAACATCCAGCTGAATATAACTACTAGAACGTAAATTGTATCAAGACATTATTTGTTGATATGAAAGCAGACAAATACGAAGGAAGCTGACCAATTATTGCTTTATAGAAAAAAAAATATCTAGTGAATTTGTCTTCGCACTGAAAGTGAAGGCCATCCAACCATTTCATAAAGTTCACAGTGATGAGTTGAATCTCTAGCACCTGTTATAGATCTTAGTGCTGAATGACAAACAGAATCCAGTGAGTGCAGTGTTGTCTTTGAAGTATACCTATAAAAAATATCATCTAAAATATAATCTAGAATAGATAAAAATGTAACTTCAGCTATTTTTTTTTCGTGCCCGCTGAGTAAAGCAAAAACTGTTCCTGTAATAAAATCCCAACTTCAACTTATCAGTTGTTCCACATGCAATTTAAAAGACAGGTTAAAACCCAAATATTTATAAGATGAATTCTATTGGTCTGCCCAGCCGTGTATAAATTTGTGGCAAAGAAAATAACATATATTTTGTTTTTTGATCATTAAGAACATGCCTTAGAGAGCTAAGTTTGTGTTGAACATTCACAAATGCGTCCTGTAAATTTGAAAGAGCCTCTGCTGGTGATGAAGCAGAGCAATAGTATCATCGGCATAAAAATGCATATCAGCATTTAAAAATTATAGGAGAAGTCATTAATGTATATTGTGAATATATTGTGTATATTGTGAATTTTTGCACATTTTAGATGCAGGACTACAAATGTGGGTGAGATGAATTTAGTTTTTGACTAGATGTTTGATATGTGAGTTGGGTGAACTCTAGTGTCCTCAAATCAAATTTAGGAAAAGCTGTGTTATCACATATAAGACTAAGCTGAGCTGACTTCTTATTTTTTAAAGTGATAATCTTCCAACACTGCTGGGAAATGTGGTGTGATTGTTCTGATAACTTAGTCTTGGTATTAGGTGGTGGTACACATCATTTTTAAGCAACTGGTAATTGAATCATGTGAAAAATCATTGCATATACCGTTCAAAAGTTTGCACCTGTCTTACCAATAATTGCTGTTATTTTGTTCAATAATTTAGTCAGTGTTATGTATATAGAAATGTAAGCTATTTTAAGATGTTTTATTCAAATTTCATTTTTTGGGAATACACTGTAATATGTATTTATAGTAATATATTTATAGTAATAATTTGATAGATCTAGATTTGTCAAATATAAAGTATTCTAGTGTATGTTAATTTTATTATAACTTCATTCTCTGTGTTCTGTCATTCTGGAATCATCTACAGCTCTGTTCATTCTTCTGGACACGTTTTGTCATTTGTTACAGCTTCTTACAAATTAGTTGAAAACAACAGTTTGTTGTTTTGTTTTTTGTTTTTTGTAGATTGTCTAAGTTACAATAAGTTACCACATCCTCTACAGAGAGAACACTTCTGCACTTTTTAATACACAAATATAGTATATAACATATGGGGAAACAATCCATCACTTCTAGCCATACAATTCTTCTTCATGGAAGATAATAACACAACACTACCCCACATCACATACAATAACACAAATAAACACATAAACACACTTTAGACTAACAATAACAACTTACCTACACACTAAAGTCTCTCCTGCCGTGAACTTGGTGCTTCCCAAGAGCCTCTTTGTGCGGCCACTCTGCATGACCAGTACCATGGCAGCGTGAGCCAGTAGCCAGTCGCGCTAACAGAATCGTTTTATACATGTATTTGCATTGGATTCCAAACTTTTAACATGTGCTGTATAACTTAAAGTTCTCCTGACATGCATCACACATAAACAGTACATAAACAAGGAACATGTTTCTATGAAGTCTTCAGGAGGCTCTCATGGTCAGATCAGTAGACGCAGACATTTTTGTTCAATGTATGATAGATTTTAAAACATTCATTCACAAATGCACATTGAAATAAGTAATAAGTGTGTGTTTTATTCCAGGATGAGGCTGAAGATGCGATACAGTATTCCACACTGGATTTTACTAAAAAGAGAAAAGAAAGAGAGAGGCAGAGCGAGGGAGAGGGAGAGGAAACTCTGTACTCCGGTCTGGCGAGTCTCGGGTTGGAGTGAGATTCTCCTGTCCTTATTACTTACTGAATATTTGGAAATTAATTGTCTTCTTCCATTCATTTGTTCATGTGTAATGCCTAATATTTATTGCAATAAAGAAAGGAAAATTGACTCATCTCATTTGATCCTTTTAACGTCAGTCTGATCAGTACAATGAAAAACGTAAGAAAAGTTCAGTAAAATTAAAATAAAAGGCAACTTATTTCAACTTAAAAAGCTGTGAAGTGATTTACATTACTACTTGATTTATGTCATAAATAAGCTTTAAAATGTAATATTAAGATTATTCAATGAAAAGTCAACATTACACAATTTGTTCCAAGCACAGCTGAAACATGTTTGTTATCTGAAATTTGTTTTGCCAGTTATACACTGACATTATATTACACTGTAAGAAATTCTGCAACATTAACCCCAAAAAATTTAAGTAATCTGGCTCATTTTATGTGAAGAACATATAAAGTAAAACATTTTCAGTGACTTCTCACTGTTCACCCCCTGCACGTTTATATTACACGTGGTGTTGGGGTGAACCCGTGGGGAATGAAAGTGTGGAGGTGCTGCGTCCCTTCACTCTGTTGTCCTCCTACATGGTCTGCTGTTACTGTGTGTGTCTGTGTGTGTATGTGTTTGTATATGTGTGTGTGTGTGAGGGTGGACAACATGGGCAAGCCGCTGACTGGCTACAGCTGCTAAAGGAGAACTCTATGCTGGACACTTGTTTAAAATATCACATCTGGTGTTTTTACATGAATTGTTATGTCTGTATTGATTTAAAAAACAATAATGTGGTGGGTCCACCAGACCACTGAGTAACAAATACATCAAGGGTTAATAACAAGGGTTAATATTGAAAAGGTTGACTAACTATTTAACATGCATTTTGTAATTTTAATTTAAATGCATTGTGTGTAAATCTGACAAAATAAAAACACAATAAAATTACACTATTATATAACAAAGACATTTTGATACATCAAACAAAGCATTTTATTTAGACAAACTAAATAACATATGTTTGAAATATAGCACTGTGCAGAAGAGAGAGACCAGCCTTATTTTATTTCAGTAAAAAAAGCTTTTTACGCCTGACACTAAACAATGAACAATTAATGCTTAATAGCTGTTCTGACTTGGAGTTATATAAATAGATACCTACTTTGCATATATACATGCACTATATAAATAAATGTGCATAAAAAAAACACCACAGTGCCCACTGCACTGCACATGCCCACTAATGTAGAATGGAAAAACACAGAGGCCCTCATTCTGTTTGTATGTGGTCTGAGGTCATATTTATAGCGCTTTAGAGCACAAGCTGAGAAAGGTTTCTCTTCTTGTTTATTACTCATTCTGACCACAACAGAGTGTGTAAGTGCAACTCAGACATTGCTGACCTTTTTTGAAGTCTTCATGTCTGTCATTGTTTATTAATATACTGTATACAAAGAAACTCTTGTCAAAAAGCACATTTGTATTGTTGAGATGATTAAAAAAGCATTACAGTCAAGAAATAGACTTCAATATGTTATATGTTACATGTGAATTGGTGTGCAGAGAGTTTACAGCTGCTGAAGTTGCTGCAGCAGTTTAGGAAAGTAGTGATGAAGAGAACGTAGCATTTTGATATGAAACATATGAGTATCATATTATATGAAGAGCCATTAAAGAGAATTTAGAAAGATATGCAAAAATGCCTTTAGATCCCAGAGGGTTAATGACTGGGAATCCTTGTAGTGGCAACGAATCCTGACTGCTGGTCTAGCCACTGGTCTACAAGTTAATAAATACAATCAAGCTGTCATTAGCATGACTATTACTTCAAAAAGGTCATTTGATCAATCCATGATCCTTTCACATTGCCCAGCTAGCAGGAAAACATGCCCCAAAGTAGTCCTCCCATCTTAAAGATATGACATTATATGGGGGTTAGTCTTTAAAATCAGAGACTATGGTGGCACCACTGCAGGAGATAAATAAGCATGTTTACAACAGGCGTAGTAATGGTTACATTTTGGCCAGTGTCCATTTATCATGCTTTTTATTTAGACAACTTTAGTAGTGAAAGCTTATTATACAAAAATCCTTTTCTACTTTCATTTCAGCAGATAACAGTTTTCTGACAGCACTTCTCAAAAGCAAAGCATTGACAGAGGGGTGGCCAATGGCCTTGTGGTAGGCCAAATGAGCCCCAAATTGGCAGTTCACAGGTTCAAATCCAAGGACTGATTCTGATGACATTGTGCTGCTCTCGACTGGGTATAGTTGGGCAGCAAAATAACATTTTTTTCTTGTAGGGTCAATAAAGTACATAATGTCTATGTAACTGAAGTCTGGCCCAGAGGTAGATTCAAATCCCAGCTGTGATGCACCAAAGAGTGCTGCCAGCTGTGCCATGAACTAAGACTGCAGGTGTTTTGTGGGGGTGCGGGGGAGAGGGAACCAGAGGATCATGAGGAAACTTGAAAATAAGAAAAATCCTAAAGAAACACAGCAAACAGGCTATCAGAACCCCAGTGAAGCAATATTAGAACTCAAAAGAATAAACACCAAAGCTTGACCTGTCAAAGGTGCAAATCTGTCACTAGGCTGACAAACCAGGCTGCAGGTGGGGCCAAAGGCTCTGAAAAGAAAAGACAAATACAGGTCCCAAGAGAGGGAAAAGGAACTTTAAATAACAAAAAGAGTTCTTTATGTTTGCACTGGATAATCAATAGAATAGCATAAGAATAGACTACACAGTCAAAGGGCACAACCTGAGAGTGCTTTCCAGAGTTTTTAAGGCAGCTCCAGATCTTATGGGCCACAGAGTGAAAAAAAGGACCCACCCTTCATGAAAAACACTTTCAGTTAGTAATAATGACGGTGTAATTTGCTTATTTACTCAATACTGTCATGTATCAAACAAGCTAATGCTTTAAAGAAGAGCCACTCTGCCATCTATCATCTAAAGTTAGCCTGAAGTGCTTATAGCAGGCTACCTGTATAAGAAATTACTGGCTTAGTAAGAGACCCTCAGCATGTGGCAGCGTGAACCGAGCACTGAGCGGTGGCAACATCTTTTCTTAAGGGTGATCAGAGGTGATGCTGGATGCTCTGATTGCTAAGGAGGGGATCTCTGTCTCCCTCTGGTGGCTGTAGCTGGTCTGGTAGATAACTCAGGCCCAGCCTCAGCTGTTACAGTCTAATGTTGTGTTACTCTGAGTTCTGATTTGTTTCTGTATGGACTGGATGAAAATTAGTCAGCTGATGGTATTTTTATGCAGCTACTTTTTCTTTGGAAAACCAATTAACAACAAATAACATCCATTCATCCATCCATCCATCATCTAAACCGCTTATCCTTCTGGGTAACAAATAACAGTATTTATTTTTTTTTTTTTAATGAGAATACGTAAATATAGAAAATGTAGAAAAAGTCAAAGTGGTCTGACTTATGCAGTATCAGTCTATCATAAAAATATAAAGATACACGAATACATAGATACGATACATACATTGGATTACATTAGCCATCAGTAGGAAAGAAAGCTTATGATGTATAAGACTTCACATCTTTAATCTCACAAATTATTTTAAGAAAGCCGACCAGCACAAAAAGTATTCTTTACAGTTTGGTTTACACCCCAGAACAGAAACACAAGAAGAAATTCAGACCATATTTGCAAAATCAAGGAAAACATGCATTTAATATTTGATTCTTTTAGTTTCTATTCAGCTCGGTACAATGCCTATGTGAGCACACATTCATATACAAAATATTGTATAAAAATCAATAGAACATTGAGAGTCTCTATGACTACATTAACTCAGTGAGACCTGTTGTGTAATATGACTTTACTGAACTGCTCTGTAGTCAGAAACAGGGAAGAATCTCACTCGGGTGAAAACTTTCTCCTTTAGCGCTCCTCTCCTCATCTTCTCAGAGAAACGTAATGCAGTGAAGTCAAACTCCTCAGAGTCAGAGTCCTGTTTCAGAAAACAGAAGATCAAAGCTGAAGTGGATAATTCCAGGTGATAGAAACCACATGTCTGAAGAATTTCAATGCCTCTTCACCCCTTACATGGCCAGGACCCAACGTTTTATTATACACTTCTATAACCTAGGAATAGCTCAGTCAGTTTGCAGTGAAGTCCCTGTAGTTTCTGAATAATGATCCTGAATATCTAAAAAGTCTGGGTTAAAGCTTTCTCACAGAAAGGTATTACATAAAACAGTGATGTCTATGTTGCTTAATGTCTTACACATTTTTTCCAACATTTATGAAATCAGGTTTTGGGTTTTAACAACATATTTTTATAATCTATTCACAGAGGAGGAGTGCAGGCAGGGAGGCAAAATAGTCCCAAAAGACTTTCCACATTTTACCATGATTGACATTCCATGTAAAACTCAGACGACATGTGGGTTCACTGGTGGTCATAAATAAAGTGGATATATTTGTGTGTTGTAGTCGTGGTGACCCCGGTTCCCATCACCACCACTGTAGAGAAATATGTAAGTTTCTCTGGATTGAAGAGTTTTTAATCACACCACTCTGAATGACTTTGTTCACATCTCAACAATTGAATTATGCAGACATTTTATCAACATGATTTGCATATAACCTTTGCATATGACTCTGTCTTATACACATATAGTGCTGTGCACAAGTATGAGTCAACTCTATTGATTTAATTTCCAATCAAAATTAACAATATGTACAAGTTATTCACTTGTTGTGTAAATGTACAGGAAAATATACTTCTCATAAAATAATGCAAAAGCCTCAAAGTATAAGTATAGTAAGTGTAAGTATAATAAACACACACACACAAACACACATACATGCACACTCACACAATCACACACACACACACACACACACACACACACACACACACACACACACACACCAGAATGTCTATATTTTTATTTGTGTGAATATCAGTGTTTACTGATATTTATTCTAAGTGAGGAAACTGTCTGCTGACCCTAAACAGCTATACTGTGTATGAGCTGCTGTTAAAACCACGTCGTCTTCTGAAGGTGTGAAAATGTCAAGTCCCCATCTTGTGTTCAGATTGTGGTTACAGATCAACAGTTTACTGCAGTTCAGCTCTGTTTA